ACTATGCGGCCTGCGGGGGGTGAGTAGGCAAGCGGCAGGGTGAGGCAAGCCAACGGCTGGCTGGCTGGCCGGCTGGCCAGCGGGTGGGCGGGGTGGTGAAGAGGCCAGTGGAAGCTGGGGAGTGAGGGTGAGCCAGCGGCAGGGGGCGGGGGCAGCAGCAGAAGGTAAGAGGCCAGCGGTGGGCAGGCAGGTGAACTGGCAGCGGGAGGAGCAGGCGAGCCGGTGGTGGACAGGCAGGTGAGCTGGCGGCAGCGGTGGGGGCTGGGGAGGGGAGCGGGCGGCGGGGGGGAGTAGGCAAGCTGGGGGGGGGGGAGGATGACGAGCCGAGCGGGCAGGCAGTGGTGGGAGGGCAGGTGAGCCGGCGGCAGGGGAGGGGAGCTGAGTAGGAGAGCGGGCGGTGGCGACTGAGTAGGCGAGCTGGGGGAGTGGGGGGATGACGTGCCGAGCGGGCGGGCAGTGGCAGGGGGGCAGGTGAGCTGGCGGCGGGGGAGGAGGGGTGAGTAGGCGAGCCGGAGGGGTCGGGGGATGAGGAGGTGAGCGGATGGGCAGTGGCGGGGGGGCAGGTGAGCCGGCAGCGGGGGAGGGGGGCTGAGGAGGCGATTGGGCGGGCAGTGGTGGGGGGGCTTTATACTTGGGCGGGTGAGGAGGCGAGCAGTGAGTCGGTGGCTGACCTGTTCTACTGATCTTATCTCTCATAAAAATTGGTCCTTTTTGCTGCTTTTCTCTGGGCTGGGGGTTGTTCCAATGCTGCAAAGAGGGTGTTCCCAAAGGAAGGTGCTTGCTTCTAACCCCCAAGGCCATCAGTATGTATGCTCTTCTCTAGTCAGCCCACTTGACAAGTTTGATTGTCCTTGGTCTGGCTCCCATCCCCTCTCCAAGGGTTGCAGCTGTCTGGAGGTGCCTGCCTTCCATGCCTTCCTCATTCACACCTCATTCATTCAACAGGGCAATTGATTACTAAGTGGGGGGAAGATCTGATTCTACTTCTAGCAAAAAGACATTTTTCTTTTACCTTAATTATACTACCTTAGGGGCCCGCTGTAACATATTACCAAGGTTCAATACTGCTGTTTCGGCGGGGCAGCGCTGGGGAAGGAGGGTTTGTTTCCACAGGGTGGGCGGTGCTGGGGTGGGAGGTTGTGTTTTGGGAGGGTGTTGGGGTGCAGGAGCAGGTTGGGGGTTGGGTTGCAGGGTCTGGCCAGGAGCTAGGGTGAGGAAGGGGGCTCAGGGTTGGGGCAGGAGGTTGGGGTGTGGAGCGCTTACCTGGGTCAGCTCCCATTTGGTGTGAGGGCTGCAGGTGGTGTGTGCAGGAGCTCCCGTTTGGTGCTCAGGGTGTGGGTGGGGATGTGGGGGGGGGCTGCAGGAGTCAGGGCTGGGGGTGTGGGCCGGGGTCGTGGGGGTGCTCCACCCCCTTCCCCAAGGCCCCACCCCTGCCTCTTCCCCCAGCGACAAGTGCGCTGGGGTTCTGCTCCTCCCCCTCCCTTGGGTGGGCGATCAGCTGTTAGGCAGCAGGGAGAGGGGGAGGGGCGGGAATGTGGGACACTGGGGGAAGAGGTGGGGGAGGAGCTTGGCTGCCGGCGGAGCCTGCCCTGCTGCAGCAGTGAGCCCCAGGAGCTGGCAGCACCAAGCTTCTGCCCCTGCAGGAGAGAGTGGGGGGGCCCTTTGGTGCGTGGGCCCGGCGCCATGGTAAATCCGGTACTGCTCCTTGCTACTCTCCTTGCCGTCCATCTGGCTCCCCAACTGCCCAACCGCCTCTCTCCTCCTCGCCATCTGCCTGCCTGCCTGCCTCCTCATTACCCTCCCGCCCGCTCACCTGCCGCTTACCTCCCCATTGGCCTCCTCATCCCGCTTGCCTGCCTGCCTCCTGCCTCACCTCCCTGCTGCCTCCTCCCTTGAATATCGGGACAAATGGCATCCCGATCGTACATTGGTCGGGATGCGGGACAAAGGGCTAAATATTGTTACAGTCCTGATTTTATTGAAGGCCCCGATTCACCCTACCCAAGGGATGGCTCTGCCTGGATCTACAACGGGCCTTAGGTGTTGCAATGCCCAACTTTCAGACACCTTGAAAATCACTGGACTCCACAAAACCTGGGTTAGGTGCTCAGGCTGCCTCCACAATGGACGGGGAGCAAGATGCACCTAAAAATGGGATCCATGCAAACCAGCACACTAGCTAGCCAATGAGAGATGCCAAGGGGGGGGGCTAAGCCATGCCCTTCTCAGGGAGCTAGTCACCTAACTCTGGGCTGCAGGCAGGCACCTATCTCTGCTAGTGACCCACAGCTGGGAACCCATCTCCTGGAGTGTGGGGCTTAAGGCATTTCTTGCTAGAAGCACTGGAGGAGGAGGAGATGCTGTTGCCTCCCTTACAACACTCCCTGGGGATGTGGGACACCTACACTCAATTCCCCCCTCTGCCAGGGGGGAGAAAGGATTTGAAGAGGGTCTCCCACCTCTCACAAGGTTGCTGTAACCACAGGGCCATGGGACATTCCAATGTGGGGATCCCTCAATCTCTTCTGCTGACATTAAAAACTTAAACAGTCACTGGGCAGAGAGACGGAGCACATGAGAATGACTGTCTAGCCTGGCGGTCAGGGCATCCCCCAAAGGGACGCTGGGTCCTGCCCACCTGCCCCAGTGATACGGTTCCAGAACTGGGCTCAGGCAGAGGTGAGGGATTCAGTGACTCATTCTGACAGTCTGAGGGCTGCACTGTGCTCTGAGTGCTCCTTAGTGCCGGACCTACGTGGGGGAAGGAAGGACAAAAGTAGCTTTTTGCCATTTTTCCACTTGCCCCAGTACCTGGGGCTGCCAGGAGCCAATTCAGATCCTGGCATTATGAAAGCAGCCTCAGGGCTTCTCCATCTTGCCCCAGCAGGCAGCAGCCCCCAAGGGCCATCACATCTGCTGGGGATCAGGGGAGTTCAGCAGCACTCCAGCCACACCTTTTCCATCCCACCATACCCCAACAACACCTCAACCCTGGGGAGACGGAGGGGCTGCAAGGGGGTGACCTAGAGCTGGTGGCTTACACCACCTGAGGATTCCCCTACGCTGACAGAATTCCCAGCTGGATGCCTGCACTGGCTTTCCGGCCCCTCTGCACTGCTGGAGAGGCACAAAGGGACCAGGGTAACATCAAAGATCTGGCCAGCTTCATGCAACAATGTATACAAGAATGTAAGAGGTTTAATGATACATTTAGTCTTGTTTTCATATGGCATGGCATGTTTGTATGCTTCTGGCCTTCGTACTGCAACACTCTGTGTCCTGCAGCTTCTTCGCTGCACTTGTAGAGAAATCCCAGCAGTTTGCTAACATGGGTTTGATTTCGTTTGTTTCTCTCCTTGTTCAGAACAAGTTATAATGAAGAGGACGATTTTCTCTTTCTTTCATGGCTTCACTGTGAGCTCCTCGCTGTCTGGATATGTCGTTTTCTTCATTGTTCTGCACATTCACAATTTTGCATCAGGTGGGAATTCCTGTTTATCCATGAAATTTCTGCCTGCTCATATACCTTCTCCTTCTAAAAGTACCAGTTCTCTCACATTGTAGCCTCATGTCATTCACAATGCCTTTTCACCCTGGAAGATCATGCAAGGGTATGTCTACACTACAGGATTAATCCGAATTTAGATAATTCGAATTTGGGAAACAGGTTGTATAAATTCGATTGTGCGCGGCCACACTAAGCACCTTAATTCGGTTTTTAACCACATTAATTCGGTGGTGTGCGGCCACACTACCCCATTAACTTAAACACAGTAATTCGGTGGTGTGCGTCCACACTAACCCTAATTCGAATTAACAAAATCGATTTAGGCTCTACTCCGTTCGTCGAGGTGGAGTACAGAAATCGATTTAAAGGGCCCTTTAATTCGAATTAACTGGCTCTGTAGTGTGGACGGGTGAAGGGTTAATTCGGATTAACGCTGCTAAATCCGAATTAATCCCGTAGTGTAGACCAGGCCCAAGTCACAAACTGGTCTCTTGGTTCCAGATTTTTGTCTGCAGTCTAGTGCCGTGACTTCAGAAAACTGTCAGGTTCTCCCAGTTAAGAATTTCCCCCTCTTGGGGGTGGTGTTTCCCTGAGGGACATGTGGCTGGTTTAACAGCCCAGCACTGCTCCCTGCAACCCCTGGCACAGGAGTATCCTGGGAGTGCTTGGGGCCTGATTTGCAGAAGTGAAAAACACTCACCACTGCCAACGAATTGCAGGGGAGTGTGGTGTGGACATGTAACATGCCCTAAGAATGCAAATCAGGCCCTAGGTGTCTCAAGGTAGTGGACAGTTTTGGCCTCAATGTCTCTATGCCTCAGTTTCCCATCTGGAAAATGGAGATAACGAAACCTCCCTACCTCAAAAGAATGTTGTGAACTTAAAGTCATTAGTATTAGTTGACACACTCAGCTAGGGATGAGCACCTCAGAAAAGCTCTTGAGTAGATAATATAATTCTATATCTAGTGCAGGATTTGGAGGGTGGCAGTAAATATGGCCTGGAGCCCTCACTGAATGATTAGGATAAAAAGAAGCATTGGATAGCTGCTAATTCAGTGGGCATGATCCATCCTGTGCACTGCATAAGTCAGGGCTCCCATGGAAAAAATACCATGTTTTCAAGTAATTAAAGACTGTAGCATAATGAACACACACAAGCAGGCACAATTAAGGTTTCATACAAATTGTGACTAAAATGCTTTACTAATGATGATAAACTGTGGCATTTCCTCAGTGCATTTTGCCTCAGGCACTGCCTCTTCGCCTTTGTGGGTACTAGTCGCATACCCTCTGGCTGTGTTAGAGAATTGAACCATTGCTCATTGAACAGGAGGGCTGCTCTAGTGTAAGCACCAGTGCTGCATTGTATCCACACTCTTTCTCTTTGCACCCTGCCCACTTTTGTGCCCTGCCACACTGTTGCACCTAAATTAATGTTTATTCAGTTTCTCTCTGACTTAATCACCTTTTTCTACTGGTACATTTCACAGCACAGTTCACAGTGACTGGACCTGACCATCCAATCACCACCTCCGTAGGTGGGGAGGCAGTCCTGCCCTGCCACCTCTCCCCCAGGATGAGTGCTGAGAACATGGAAGTGCGATGGTTCCGATTCCAATATCATTCAGTTGTCCACCTGTATCAGGAGGGACAGGATAAGTATGAAGAGCAGATGCTGGAATATCATGGGAGGACAGAGCTGCTGAAAGATGGCATCACTAATGGGAGTGTTTCCCTGAGACTATACCAGGTCCAGCTCTCTGATCATGGGCAGTACACATGCTTTTTTCAATACAGTATCTTTTATGAAGAAGCCATATTGGAACTGATGGTATCAGGTCAGTTATTGTGTTTTATTGTTGTTTTGATTTGCCAGCAGTATAATAAATGGAGTAATCGCTCATTGTGATTTATCCCTCGATCGCTCTCATTCACACATGAATATCCATAATTCTCTTTTAGCTTCCAATTATTGCATAGCAGGGTCAATCCCTGAGGAAAAATGGAAGAATTTTGCTTGTGTGCTCTGTATTTGGGGCAGTTTCTAAATTTTATTTTAAACAGAGTAGTATAGAGTTCAAATATTTCTCTGGCAATAAACAAACCCACTGTGATGATTTGAGGACTTATGAATTCTGTTTGATATTATGAAGTTGTTTTTATGAAAATTGCTGTATCATAGAATGTCTCTATGTCTACATGTATCTACCATTACTGACCAAGTCGTAGCACATACACACCAGACTATTTACAATGGGGTGTAGTTAGCTTTAACTACTTTTTAACTCTGACCTGTCAGTAAGTATGCTAAGGATGGTAGCTGGAACTGGGAAGAAGCCACTTCCTCCTTCTGGTCTGTAAGAGGACTGGAGTTTGGTGAGTTGAAAATTATGAGAAGCAGAACAAAGGAACCAGGTGTTAGTGATGGGACATAGAAACTGGAGACAATCAGTGGGAAAGTAACAAGAAACTTTGGGAAAGAGAGAGGAAGGACGCAGACCAGCCAAGGCCAGAGAAGACTGTCTGGGAGAGGGAGGCTCCCTGGCTGAGAAGACAAGCCATGTGCAGCAGCAAAAAGGCCTTAGAGTCTTAGACACCTCCAGAGGATTCTGACCCAGCCCAGAGAATACTCTGAAGTGGTAAGGAAATTGTGGGAGGGAAATGAATGTAGGTCTATTATTTTTCTATAGATCTGTATTTTCAAGAAAAGAGCAATGGTGTTAGAATCCTATGCAAAGTCTCTCTGTGTGTTACCCTACCACGTAACCTGTGGACCTAGAATGCCCACACAGCTGGAGTTCTGGAACAACAAGGGTATGTTTAAGCTGTGGGGGCTGCCTATGGGAACAGCACTGGTCCCAGCAGGGGCTGGGCAGTTGGACCGTGAGGACTCACTGCTTGAGGGGGTGTAAGATGGAGGATCTGCACCCCAAGAGTGAGCTGAGAGACCTCGGGCCTTGTCTGTGCCTGGACTCTGCTCAGACTCTAGAGGTTTAAAACACATGGGATTCACTGGTTGGATCCCCTCACAGCAGTCTGGTGAGTGGCCAAGAGGGGGTGCTTGACAAAGCTGTGACACCCCCTCACTCTTTTTCCTTGGGTTCTGCTTATATCGGGTGTCTGTCATTTGCCTATTTAAACATAGAACACTTCATCTGAAACCTTTCCAGCGTGTTTTTTTTTCTTTCCCTTCCGTATTTTGAGCCAAACCTCGAGAAGGGCTGATCACTGATGACTGCCACTGAAACTGCAGTTACTCAGAGCTGATCTGGATCTATGTCTATTAACTGATTTTTTTCGAGTCAGACAATAGGATCGACTTCTTTTGGAATTGCCTTGTTATTTTCATAGTCCTGTACCCCTCTGGAACAGAGCTGGTCGGGAATTTTTTGACCAAGCTTTTCTTTCATCAAAAATTGCTGATTTGTTGAAACTGAAACTTTTTGCAGGAAAGGCTTGGTTTCAACTGATTTTTTTGACTCCAAAAGTTTGAAAATTGTCAAAATGTTTTTGATTTGACATTTATAACACGAGAAAATCCATTTTCCAGTTAAAAGCAACTGTTTGTTTTAAAATGTAAGCTAATTATAGTAAATAAGTAAAAGTGGTCAAAATTTAAATGAAATGTTTAAACTAACTTGACTCAAAAAATTTTGGGGATTTTTGATTCATGAAAGTTTTTGGAGATTTTGATTTTTTGTCTCAGTTTGCTAGGAGAAATGTTTTGTATATATTTTGAAAATTTTCACAGGGCAGGAAAACTGCTTCCTGCCCAGCTCTGCTCAGGAACTAAGATCAGGAAGAACATTGTCAGAGTATCTCAGGATGCTGTCAGAGTATCTCAGTATCTTTATCTACAGATAGCTCAAAACTCAATATAAATGACAAATTGAATTGGGAAATAATCATTTTTAGATAAAGAAATAAAGTGACATGTCACCCGAAGAAATATATGAAAATAGTCAGAATGAATTTACTCTCAGACTTAGTCTCTATAATATTAATTTCCCCCATAAAAAAGGAAACCCAGCCCAGATGAAACCAATAGAAGGAAACTGCAATGTAAGGCATAAGATATAAATTAGGAGGGGCAGAATAAAAGCCAAAGCCAAAAACAAATATCAAGAAATTGTTTCGGTGTTTATCAGGGGTTAGTAGTCTGCCAGAGAGTTGGTGGGTAAGGTGTACCAATACAGAAGAAAGGGAGCAATCAACGAGGATAAGGACATTACAGAGAAGCTAAATGTTTTCTTTGCGCCAGTTGTCAGCACAGAGGAGATATCTGCTCTTCTCAGCTAATAAAGATGAGGCATTGTCAGAGAATGATGTATCAAAAGAAGAAAAGCTGGAACAAACCAATGAGTTAAATAGCAAGGCGTCACCAAGAGTTCCTTTAGAACAGTTATATGAATTTAAGAGTTCAGTGGCTGAGCTGCAAACAAAATCATGCAAATGTTAAAATCACTGCTCGACTGGAGGAATGGAAGGCAGCCAGTGTTTTAACTATCAGTAAATATGGTGCTAGAGGTGACCCTTGGATTTACTTCAGAATTGAGTAAATTGGTTGAAACAATAATCAAAGACAGTTAGAATAGTTTCAACTCTGTGGAATTTCCACATAATTATATGGCAAACTTCTGTGGTTTTGAAACTTTTCAAACATGAAACAAGTGTAGCTGAAGCACTTTTGTCTTCCTGAATCCAGCAACATCCTGAAATAATTGGTGAAGAGATGTGAATGTCCCAATCATCTCATTGGGATATTGACTCTGAAACATAATTGACTATTTCATTGCTGAGATACCAATAAAGTAAACTGGCCAGAACTTAATCTATCTTCTAGTGAAGGGCTGAGTCCAGTGTGATGGGATTGAACATGCAATTTTAGGAGTCCAGGTGCCAGGGCCATAAGCAGGGCAGAGCAAGTGGGGCAGTCGCCCAGGGCACAAAGCTGCAGGGATTGAAAAATGGGGTGGAAACGGAGGCAACTAGTAAAGCCCTGTGTGGCAGGGCTCGGTTGGGCCAGCCCCACATGGCGGAGCTTGGTTGGACCAGTCCCACACAGCTTGGGTTCAGGAGGGACTTTCTCAGCAGGCTACCCATCCTGTCTGGGTTGGGGGAGACGCAACTATAAAATCTGTGGGGGCACATGACCCCATGTACCCCCCCCCCATACATGTTGCCGCTGTGCAGAAAAAAGATGAAAAAAATGGTAGGGAGCTCAAATATGCTTGCTCACCCGGGGCGCTAAAATGTTTAGTTACTGCTCTGCTAGGTGCTTCAGACCAGAGATCACCAAGGGCCTTGGGCCAGGCCCTGTCCTCTAACATGCACTGTCCACACTAAGCTAAGTGTTCCGCTTTCGAGGGTGTGTGCACTAGTGAGATTCTGGTATCTAGCTGAGCCATTGTGAAGGGACCAGGCCGCCCAGCACTCAATGACACACACCTGCAGTGAGTTTTCCACATAGCTTGCTCTGACGATGGGTGCAGGGGACAGAGAAAAGAGTTAATTTGCTACTTTTCCTGAAGGTTAGGCTCCTGTCTGCTTTGCTGAAAGTGTAGAATTAACACAGGTTCATTCCATTCTCCTCTAGCTATGGGCTCGGACCCCCACATCTCTGTTGATGGTCACCAGGACAGTGGAATCCGGGTTGTGTGTCAATCGGCCGGGTGGCACCCAGAACCTGAGGCTCAGTGGAGAGATCGCCATGGGCAGCTGCTATCATCTGCCTCTGAAAAAATATCCAAGGCGGACAATGGCCTATTTCAAACTCAGATTTCTATTGTTATAACAGAAGATTCCAACCAGAATTTGTCCTGTTCTGTCAGGAACCCACTCGTCAACCAAGATAAAATATCAACAGTTTTCATAGCAGGTCAGTGCCCGTCCACACTGCACTGGGGTCTGACAAGACATTACAGATGTTAGTGGGGAGTGTATAGTATTGTGCGATTATTACTGACCCCCTGTTTATAGCTTTTCTCTGGGTAACACAAGACACCCTCTCTTACACTCTTACCTGGGTTTCTTTCTTGCATTACATACAGAAGACTACACTAATCTAACAGCAGCACCAAGGGCCCCATCAGGATGCAGGCAGGAGTCAGGACAAACTCTCACTGGCTTAAATGAAATCTTTACATGAGTAAGGAGTGAAGGATCAGGCCCTAGTGTCATAGTTTGGTGGAGTGGCAGCATTTTTAAAGTTTTGGCAGAGTTTTATTGTGACAGCACTGTTAAACCTTTATTTTTAAGAAATGTAGTAAAAGTGGTTAAAAAAAACCCACAACCAAACCCAGCCATATTGTTATGGGTTGGACATAAGATGGGCACTCACATGTTCCCAGAATACCAGACATTCCAGTACTTTGGAGAATGGTGTGACCCCACCCCCACTGGTGTGATCCTGATCCTGCTGGTGAGATGGTGCATGTGAGGTCACGCTGAATGGGGCGCCGCTATTTTTAAGCGTGCGCCACCCTGCTCCCACCAGTGTGACCTTGTACACACTGTGTGTGTGAGGTCATGCTGCACTGGGGTGGGAGGTGCCATTTTTGAAAGCCAGAAGAGGCAGAGCAGCATGCCCCATCTGATACCAGAGAAAACCACATCTGGTTTTGTCCCAGTGCAGGACAGGGGACAAAGGTCTCAAACAGAGCACCGATCGGTTTAATACCAGATGAACGGCCTCCCTAGTTGGGCATAACCACTGCCCTTAATTTAAGACGGGGTAAGAAGCCAGTAAGCCCTTTTGTGGAACCAGAGAGCTGAAAAAACTAGCAGCCTCCACCCCAAATATAGGCACATGCCACTGCCCAAAATAAAGGCCTGTGTCAGGCACATGTGGGTGGAGGGGTTTGGCTGGGTATTATTTTGGTGGGGAGGGCAGTGTGAGAGAGAAGCAGCGATTGCACAGCACAGAGGCAGACACAGGGAAGGAGCATAACAAGCACTGGGAGTGTGGGCCTGAGAAAAGCCTAGCGTGAGAGTTTTGGGCTGAGTGCTGGCTGAAAGAGGCTTGGAGCTGTGAGCAAAACAATGGCTTGATTCCTTCTGGTTTGCAGAAGATCTGTCCCTATGTGTGTGGTTTGGTTATTCTATCAATGACCAGCTCACCACAGTGCCCTCCCAGCTCCAGAAACACACTCCAGCATTCCTGAACTCCAGGTTTCTACTGCAGTCTAATAAATAGTTGTGTAACAAGGGAAAGTGTGTGTCAGGCCTGTCTCTAGTAACTAGCTTAGTAGGAAGCTAGCCAAATCTCAAGTAGTAGATGTTGGTGCTGAAGCTCTATAGGGTCTGGGTTCAAACCTTTCTGCTCCTGCTGCAAGAAGTTTACAGTTGCATATAACAGACTTTCTTTTTTTAAAAGACTAGTTGATTTAATTCACACAGTGAAAAACCATCCTTTAAAAAAGCTGTTTGGTCTCAGTGGGAGGTGCAAGTGGCAGCCTTATGGAGTGCTGGAGTCGGAGTGTGTTATTGACAGCCATGTCGAGGATGTGAAGGCTGCTAGGAATGAAGGAATGTTTTTTTCCTTCACTTCTGATTTCTAGGCTGTTAGGGTTGTGGTGTTTGGGTGGTGCCTTGGCACCACCTTAATGGTCACTAAAGAACGTTTTTATTTTTGTTAATTAAATTAATAGTTAGCCGTTACTGTAATAAAATAACAACAACACTTTGCATGTTTACGGCACTACTCATATGAGAATCTCAGATTGCTGCATTCTGGTATTTGCTGAATAGGCTCTGGTTTTGTCCATTGTTTCATAATCACATAATGAAGAACCCCCTCCTGGTGCCCAGGCTCACAACACAGAAATAAGGACCCTAGGAGGTTGTTACTTGGACTTTCCTCACTCAAATTTTGTTGCAATTAAAATCTTGCAACAAGATATTGTACATATACATTTTCTTGGGAGTTTAGTTAAATTTTGAATTGACAAAGGGAAAATGGATCTAAACTGATGAATGTATAAGAGGGCAGAGAAGGTGGGAGGAGGAGGAGAGATAAAAGCAAAGCTTGGGAAGCAAGTTTCTCTGGAGATTAATTAAATAGGACCTACAGTTTGGGACTCACAGTGCAGTCTGTTGCAGAGATTCCCATTTCATGGAGGTCTCTGATACAAAATCATGGGAGCAGGTCCTCAAGGAATCCATTTTGAAGCACTTGGAGGAGAGGAAGGTGATCAGAAACAGTCAACATGGATTCACCAAGTGCAAGTCATACCTGACCAACCTGATTGCCTTCTATGATGAGATAACTGGCTCTGTGGATCTGGGGAAAGCAGTGGATGTGATATATCTTGACTTTAGTAAAGCTTTCAATACGGTCTCCCACAGTATTCTTGCCAGCAAGTTAAAGTATGAATTGGATGAATGCACTATAAGGTGGATAGAAAGCTGGCTGGATTGTTGGGCTTAACGGGTAGTAATCAATGGCTCAATGTCTAGTTGCCAGGCGGTATCAAGCGGGTTGGTCCTGGGGCCGCTTTTGTTCAACATCTTTATTAATGATCTGGAATGGATGATGGGATGAATTGCACCCTCAGCAAGTTTGCAGATGACACTAAGCTGGGGAAAGAGGTAGATACACTGGATGACCTAGACAAATTGGAGGATTGGGCCAAAAGAAATCTGATGAGGTTCAACAAGGACAAGTGCAGAGTCCTGCACTTAGGAAGGAAGAATCCCATGCACCGCTACAGGCTGGGGACCGACTGACTAAGCAGCGGTTCTGCAGAAAAAGACCTGGGGATTATAGTGGATGAGAAGCTGGATATGAGTCAACAGTGTGCCCTCATTGCCAAGAAGCCCAACGGCATATTGGCCTGTATTAGTAGGAGCATTGCCAGCAGATCGAGGGAAGTGATTATTCCCCTCTATTTGGCACTGGTGAGGCCATACTTGGAGTATTGTGTCCAGTTTTGGTCCCCCCACTACAGAAGGGATGTGGACAAATTGGAGAGAGTCCAGCAGAGGGCAACAAAAATGATTAGGGGGCTGGGGCACATGACTTACGAGGAGAGGCTGAGGGAACTGGGCCTATTTAGTCTGCAGAAGAAAAGAGTGAGGAGGGATTAGATAGCAGCCTTCAACTACCTGAAGGGGGGTTCCAAAGAGGATGGGATAGCCTAATTTTGGCAATTAATTGATCTTTGATTATTAGCAGTTAATATGTCCAATGGTCTGTGATGGGATGTTAGATGGGGTGGGATCTGAGTTACTACAGAGAATTCTTTCCTGGGTGCTGGCTGGTGAGTCTTGCCCACATGCTCAGGGTTTAACTGATCGCCATATTTGGGGTCGGGAAGGAATTTTCCCTTTAAGGCAGGTTTTTCGCCTTCCTCTGCAGCGTGGGGCATGGGTCACTTGCTGGAGGATTCTCTGCACCTTGAGGTCTTTAAACCACGATTTGAGGACTTCAGTAACTCAGGCATAGGTTAGGGGTTTGTTACAGGAGTGGGTGGGTGAGATTCCGTGACCTGAGTTGTGCAGGAGGTCAGACTAGATGATCAAAATGGTCCCTTCTGACCTTAAAGTCTATGAGTCTATGAGCTAGGCTGTTCTCAGTGGTGGCAGATGACAGAGCAAGAAGCAATGGTCTCAAGTTACAGTGGGGGAGATCTAGGTTGGATATTAGGAAACACTGTTTCACTAGGAGGGTGGTGAAGCACTGGAATGGGTTATCTAGGGAGGTGGTGGAATCTCCATCCTTAGAGGTTTTTAAGGCCTGGATTGACAAAGCCCTGGCTGGGATGATTTAGTTGGGGTTGGTCCTGCTTTGAGCAGGGGATTGGACTAGATGACCTCCTGAGGTTTCTTCCAACCCTAATATTCTATGATTCTATGATTCACTGACCCAGTCCAGCATTACTTGGCTGCTGAGATTTATCAAGGTTCCATGGCACTGAGGCTACAGGGCAGATATTTATTTGCTGTTAAATTTAGTGATACTTCAGGAAGTGAGATAAGGGGAACAGGAATCCAAGCGAGGTCTCGTTTAACATCAGAGAGCACTGGGAATAGGTTACCAGGAAAGATGTCAAAGGCCAAATGTTCAGCCAAAACTCGGGGCTTGTCTACACTTGAAACGCTGCAGCAGCACAGGTGCAGCTGCCCTGCTGTCACACGTCAGTGTAGACACTCATTACAGCAATGGGAAGGGTTCTCCTGTTGTTGCAGTTAACACACCTCCTGAAGAGGCAGTAGCTGGGCTGAGAGAAGAATTCCACCATCGACTTAGTGCTGCCAGCACCAGGGGTTTGCTTGGCTTAACTACGTTGCTTGGGGGCATGGATTTGTCACAGCTCAGAGCGATGTAGCTGGGTCGACCTGACTTTTTAGTGTAGAGCAGGCCTGTGCTTCGCGATTGTGCCTAGGCTTTGCAGGTGACAATATTTGTATTCACAGAGTTACAGGCTCGTGGTGTCAGAGCACCCGATTAGACCGGAAAACATTAACTGTGACATTCCTGGGTGCAAAGGCATTTTCACCTTAGTGTTACGTTCCTACCTAATTTACAGTTAACAAAGGCTGGGATTTTCAAAAGAGGGTTAAGCTCCCAAATCCCTCTGACAATCTAGCCACCAAGGCAACTGGACTATCAGATAAATGGTCACTTACACCAAAAATCACAAAATATTCAAGTTACACCCAGTCCCAAGAGACCGGTCTCTCACCCAGATAGATTTGAATCCCAGATCTCACTCTAAAGACTACGCTGGCAGCCAGTTCTATAGTAAACCTACTAAAGGTTTATCAGCTAGGAAAAAGGCATGAGAGATACTAAGAAGTTAAAGTAGGTAAAAATATAAGTACAGGTGAATCACAGTCTACTACATCTCTGCTACCTTTTGAAATTATAATCTGTGAATTTCCAAAAACTCTTTCAGGGCTACCCAGAATAACTCAGGGGATCACCACCACCTCCTTGTTCAGTTATTTTGCCCTTAGAATCCAAACTGTCCAGAGATCAAGAATTTTTCCTTGTGTCCATACTTCTAACTTCTTCTCACAGGAGCCAAGCTCACAGCAGCACTTCCCATGAAGGTCCCTTCTTCATGGGGCGGGGAAGGAATGCACTTAACAAAGTCTTTGATCCCTGATCTCACACAATGGCTCATTTGCATGTAATGAACAGGATTTAACATCTTGTTAGAGACCCTTATTTGCATTACTCAACAAGGCTTTTTCCCTTTTTGATGAGTTACATAGACACAGAGGTTTACAATGCAAATACTTGCTATCACTTTATACCATGGGGTATAGCTGAGTGAGAACAATGCATGCAGCATCCTACAAGTATTTTGTAAAACACTAAACACATCCCTATCAACTTAACCGCTATTATTTATTTTGATGATGCTAACACAGAGATAAGCAAGACTGGTTTTCAGCTATGCATTTGTAAGTGTTCAGTGAGGCCTGGGGCCTTGGCATGAGCAGGCATCTCGTCTGCCAACATCACAGAGGGATTAATATTTAACAAGCTGGGCTCCCTGTTTGTTCCCCGTAAGTATGTCACTGGTCTGTTGTAGGAAGGGGGGTCTGCCTGTCTCCCCCTCAGACCAACCCCAAGGATTCAGAGACCATGCTGGTTTCACTAGTTCCTATGTTACCCTTTCAAAAACGTGACCATGTATTTTCTGCCCATGTAAGGCCCAATGACGCTGCAACTATGGCCAGGTCAGGGTGTCTCCAGCAGCACTATGACACAGGTCAGATCTGCAGTGCGGATGGGACCTTCTCCATACTCCATAAGCAGGTTAAGGCTTGGACTTCCACCGGTTTAGAAGCAAAGCATGGAGGGCCATAGCTCACCATGAAATCCATAGGTAGCCCCTGATGACTATTCCAGTCAGACACACAAAGTCATCTTTGCTCACAATACGACCACATTTAGTCTGTCAGGGTTTGCAGAATTGCCATTGCAAAATACTGCAGGTGCATTCCGTATGCCACCAGCCGCCACCGACTGTCATGGATTTATACGACCAAGGGCTCAGATTTTGCCACAAGAATAGGCAACACAGCATCCACTGAGCCTCCAGGCTCCAACACTCCTGCTTCTCACAGTGAGCTCTGCCCAGCAGGCCCCTGTGAGGTAGACACCCTTTCAGAGACCTTTGCTCCCTTCAGGGGCCAACAGACTTCAGCAAGTAAGAATCTGCAGTGATACCAGGCAGCCTTTTCCTTTTAATAGTCAGCTGGAGTATTAGGAAGCCCTTAGGTTAGCATAAAGAGGCCAAGGTTAAAACACAGCCCATGTCAGGGGCCAATCTCCAGCACAGACTGTCTCTTGGCAATCTAATGAGCACAGGTGGCCCTCATACAAGCTGTCTGATTGACTGTGCTTCCTGATGGGTTGCAGGAGTCAGCAGGCTGATGCTTAAGCTTTGTAGCAGCAGTTAGCAATCCAGTGGCTACACAGTGCATTTTGTACCTGTCTGTAACCACTCCTACTGCAGCCCCCAGCTACTTCCTGGCTCTGACCCTCCACTGTGCCTTCTGACTGTGACTCTGATTAACTCTGTGCTTAGGCTTCTCACTCCCAGCTCTGACTCTTGGCTTTGATCCCAGGCCCACCCCATCTGGATCTAGCTCTAACTGGTATGCTGAACTCTTGCTCCAACCCTTAGGTCAGACCACCCATGACCTGGTTGCTGATATCCTATGAGACAGGCAGCTGTAGGAACCATCTTGGTGTCCTTTCTTTGTCTCTGATCCTTTGTCTTAGTTCCAGGTGAGAGCCCTGTGTCCTTGTGAGCCCAGTTCTTTCCACTGCCTCCTGTCACCTCTGCCCATCGTTGGCCTGCTGCAGAGCCGTGCTGAGTTCACATGTTCACCCAGTCTTTCAGGCGTCTCCTGTCTCTGTCAGGGCTTCCATTGATATAGAATCATAGAATATCAGGGTTGGAAGGGACCTCGGGAGGTCATCTAGTCCAACCCCCAGACAGATCTTTACCCCAGATCCCTAAATGGCCCCCTCAAGGATTGAACTGACAATCCAGGGTTTAGCAGGCCAATGCTCAAACCACTGAGCTATCCCTCCCCACCCTGGGCCCAGCCAGTCCTGAGCGACCCATTCAGATCACCCCAGACAAACATCTCCTGTCTTCTGCTTTGTTCCAGGGACAGCATTTTAACCCTTCTGCACCCACTGGGTAGCAATACCAAGGTGATAGGTAGAAAATCATAAAAACATTACAGACAGTTTCCACATTGTCACAATGGCGCTTTCTCTTGCAGAGCTGTTTTTCCCAAGGGTCAATCCCTGGCTGGTGGCTCTGGGTATGATCCTGGCTATTCTCATTGCCCTGGCCAGTTACTGCTTCTGGAGGCAACACAGAATGAGAGGTAAAGTTAAAAAGGGACAGAATGTAGAGAGAATGAGGGTGATTTTCCGTTTTGGGTTTTTTTCTTCCTTTTAAAGAGAGGGGTTGACACAGGGACTGGGAGTCAATGTTCTGAAGAGAGATTTGGACACTGAGAGATGGAGCGAGGCTGAGGGAGAACAAATCATTCAACCTGAAGAAAATATCAAGTGCATTCACCCCTATAGCTCTCACTAAACAATCCAATCCTGGCATTGGAAAGAGTCCAGCGGAGGGCAACAAAAATGATTAGGGGGCTGGAGCACATGACTTAAGAGGAGAAGTTGAGGGAACTGGGACTATTTAGTCTGCAAAAGAGAAGAATGAGGGGGGATTTGATAGCTGCTTTCAACTACCTAAAAGGGGGTACCAAAGAGGATGGATCTAGACTGTTTTCAGTGGTAGCAGATGACAGAACAAGGAGCAATGGTCTCAAGTTGCAGTGGGGGAGGTTTAGGTTGGATGTTAGGAAAAACTTTTTCACTAGGAGGGCGGTGAAGCACTGGAATGGGTTACCTAGGGAGGTGGTGGAATCTCCTTCCTTAGAGGTTTTTAAGGTCAGGCTTGACAAAGCCCTGGCTGGGATAATTTAGTTGGGAATTGGTCCTGCTTTGAGCAGGGGGTTGGACTAGATGACCTCCTGAGGTCCCTTCCAACCCTGATATTCTATGTTTCTATGACCCAGGGAGCCAGTCCCCAGCGACTCTTTAATTATTTATATGCAGTGGCACAGCTGCCTCAGGAGAGATTGAAGGAGTCCCACATCAGAATATCCCAGGGCTCAGTGGTTGGTTACAGCACTCTCCTGAGAGGGAGAGACCCCCCTGTCAAATCTTTTGTCCCCTGCAGGCAGAGGGGAAATTGAACCTGGGTCTCCCACATCCCAAATGAGAGCCAGAACCACTGGGCTAGAACTCAGGTGGCAGCTCTTTCTCTGGCCATTTTGCATGGAGTTAGGCAGGCACTTAACTTGTTCTCACAAGAAGCAGTCTAGGCACCTGACTTGGAACCCGTTTTCCAGCTGAGAATCGCTAGCAGGGTTAGGCACCTCCCTGCAGCCTGGACTTAGGTGCTGAACTCTGAAACGGGGTGGGGCTTAGCACAGACCCCTCTGGTTAGCATCTCCCATTGGCTAACTTAGGTGGCTCCCTGCCTAACATGCTGGCTTTTGTGAATCCCATTCTAAGGCATCTCTCGATTCTCTCCCCATTCTGAGAGGAGTGTGACTGGGGCCCAGGCAGCAGGGGTGACTTCTGGGGGCAGACCTTTAAGTGGCCACTGGAGGGGATACGTCACCCTGTCCCCACTATTATCTGCTACCATGACTCAGTCCCAGGCAGAGGGGACGCTGAGTGCAAAGGCCCGTGAACAGATCTGTCTGCGTGTCCATTTGTTGTCTGTCTGCCCTTCTCACCCTAATGCAGTGGTTCTCAAACTTTTGTACTGGTGACCCCTTTCATATAGCAAGTCTCTCAGTGCGACCCCCCCCCCAATAAATTAAAAACACTTCTTTATATATTTAACACCATTATAAATGCTGGAGGCAAAGTGGGGCTTGGGGTGAAGGCTGACAGCTCATGACCCCCCAGGTAATAACCTCGCGACCCTCTGAGGGATCCTGACCCCCAGTTTGAGAACCCCTGCCCTAATGTGATTGTGCTGTAGTTAACAATAGTGATGTGCCCATAAACATGATGGTGAAATCTCACTTCTCGCCCTTTTCTCCCCCTAGAGATGCTGCGATCTGACCTGGCGAGACAGAAAGGTCAGTGTCTGGGCCAATGGGGCATGTTAAACATTTTATGTAGCTATTTGCAAACAGTGAAGAAATGAGCAAGTACCAAGACTCTCTGTAAATGGGTCATTTGCAGGGCACCCCCCGCGGCTTGCCGCCCCAGGCACGCGCTTCGAGCGCTGGTGCCTGGAGCCGCCACTGATGCTGACAGTCCTCCAGTGCCGTCCCATGATTCCCCTGGGTGTGCCAGAAGCACAGAGAAGTTCTCCCATAATTCACAGGGAAAGAATCAGTGTGGCTCAGCTCACTCAGCACGGAGAACCATGGGATATGTTTCCAGCAGTCCTAGGGACTCACATGGGGTGTGCAGCACCAATGCGGACACAGTAACAGGGGTGGGGCTTTGCAATGGGGCTGCCCTCACCCAGGTTAGGTTAACCCAGGGGCTCAGACCCGGGTACTGATCATGCGGGCTAACTCTGCAGTGAAGACCTACTCTGGGTGGCATTTCAGACTGAGGAGGGGATACATCTGCTCCCTTTGGCCACAGGCAGAGGTGACTTAAATTTGGGAGGGAAAGGCCTTGATTTCATTATTCTAAACCCAGCAGCCTTCATGGCAAGTAACTGCCTCAGTGCACTCTACCCCACTTTCTGTCACTACATCAAACAGTGAGGGAGAAGCACACTACTGAGTGGTTCTGATCAAATTATCAGCCATGAAATAGCTATGAATGCTGTCACTATAAGGCTTTAGAATCTACAACCTGAGATAAAGGGGGCAGTTCATATCTCTCAGATCACAGGTTTCAGGCTGTCTGCAGACTCAGGCAGACATTGCTGTTTTGTTACAGATGGTTCTCTTTGGAAGTATTTCTTTTTATTAGGGATTTTTTTTATTAGTGTTTATCCGTTAAACCCAAAAATCAGAAGCACCAGTTATGGAGCACAACTATGTGGCAATTTTTAAAAAGTGGAAATAATGTTGCTAAGCAAATGACTGCATAATCACATTACACAAGGGCCTGATAATAATGCAGTTAATGGGAACATCTATAAGCCTGCGTATGTATAGCTAATAGTAGAAAATACTCCTGTAAATGTGCAATATGTTAAATCAAATCCTCTTCTTTATGATTTATTTGTAGAAGAACATCGTGAAGAAATAGGTAATGTTTCTTCATTAATGTTAGCGAGGAGAGAATATAACTTATACTTCTTAAGCAGCTACTGAGGGCTCTTATCAAATGGAACACAGTCTTTATACTGCATGCAAAGTAGAGCTCCACCATAACCCCTTCCGGTCTACACATACTAGCTATGTTTACCAGTGCCCCAGCCACTGAAATAACCTGGGGATTTGCTTCCTTGTCATTGGCAGAAGGGATCAGATGAATGTATTATTTTGTCATTCACTATATAGTTAGAAATATTATTATAACTTAACATTTCCCCATCACTAACTTCCCCATCAGGGACATTCCCCATCAGGAAGGTGGTAGCCAGGAAGAAATTGGCTGCACAAAGGTTGGGGCTGGGGTTAGCCGTATAATTGTGAATTTCTAAACTTTCAGACATTTAAGTTGTGATTTATTTTTATAACATTTCATGGCAGATTTTCACAAATGCATTAACTTAGAGTTGATATTTGGGATAATTACCTAGGTACTGTAATGTGATTTTATATAGTAACTCTTGACCTGTACATTCAGTAAACAGAATCCCACAGTAGCTTCTTCCCTAGTCTGATCTGCTGTGGCAAATCTGGCAAAGATTCTGTCTCCCACAGCACCAGTTGCTTCAGAGAAAGGTTCCAGAAACCCCAATAAGACAATCATGGAATACCCTGCCCAGATGGGACCTTTCTTCCTAGCTCTAGGCAGTTCAGGGTCAGCTTATGCCCTGAAACAGGAGGTTTTACATCCCCAATAATTTTGCAGTTCTAACATACTGTGAGTGTCCTCACTCTCCCTAGATATGTATAATGCTACTCAGCTCTTGGTCTGAGTGATACCTGATGGTGAAGATTCACTGTGTATTTCTTGGAGAAGTATTTCAGTGAAATTGAAAGGCAGCAACTTAAAAAACTGGGGGGGAAATGTTGAGAGAGGGTGAATAGGACCATCCGATAATCGATTTACCATCTCCGTGCTATTCATTAGTATTTGCACTTCTGCCATGTCCTCTGCTATGTCCTCTTTGAACAGTCCTAATAATATCTCTCCCCACACTGAAATCTTTCCATACTATTCATTAACACATTCTCCCTTTTCTGAACCCCTCCCCTCAATTTCTGCTCTATCCTGTTGGAGATAGTGACCAGAAGAGGCATCGACTTTCTAATGTGCTGGGGGATGCTCAATCCCCCGGTTCTGTCCCAGGCCCCCCCCTCCCCCCCTTCCCCCAAGGCCCTGCCCTGCCTCTTTCCATCCCGTTCCACCCCCTCCCCTGAGTGCACCCGGCCCTTGCTCCTCCAGCAGTCCCCTCAGTGCCTCCTGCACGCCACAAAACAGCTGATCTGCGGCAGGCGAGAGGCGCTGGGAGGGAGGAGGAGGCACTGATCAGCTGGTGGGTGGGAAGCACTGGGGTGCAGGGGGGTTGGCTGCTGATAGGTGCTCAGCACCCACTATTTTTTTCCCATGGGTGCTCCAGCCCAGGAGCACCCATGGAGTTGGTGCTATGTGTTCATCTAAATGCTTTTGGATTCTATTTTTAATTATTATTTCAACCAATTTACCGGGATCTGAACTTAAGTTAACTGGGCTGTAATTCTCCTTATCACTCTTGCGCTTTTTTAAAAATATAGGTGCAACATTTCCTACCCTCTTTTCCTCTGGGTCAGTAGCTGATTTTAATTAGATGCATATTTTTGCTAGCAGCTCAGCAGTTTCATTCTTAACACTCCTTCAGGACTGCTTGTTATGGGCTGTGCAAGTGTCTGGAACTGTTGTGAATGCCTAGGTGCATCTTTTGTCTAAAGAGTTAAGCTCCTTTTAGGTTTTTGACTCCCATCCCTTTTTATAAGCATGGTTTCAGATCTATTCATTTATTGTCTTCTAGGGAAACTCTTCACTGAATTGGGGCTTGGTAAGTTCCATTTCCTGCCCCCCACAATACACCCTTAATATAATCCGTGTTATACACTGTGTCCTGGTCACCGTGTCTGTGCTCAGGGGAGTTCTCATCTCTCTCTCTGTGTTTGCTTTCAGGATTGAGAAGAGCCCAGCTATATGCAGGTACTGTACATAAAACTGACACTTGATTCACGTCAGCATCCCACCTGCCCCTGAGAGCTCTCTCCTCACTTCCCCAGTGCACCGGTACTTTCATATAAAAAGCAATAGGCTGGAAACAGCAATGTCCCTGGGGGTGGGTGGAAAGGGGCAGGCGACACCCCAGGTTTATTGCAGAGCAGGGACATGGCCCCTTTGGGAAAGGGCTGATTGGTGAGGAAATGCTGCCCCCTGGTGTCACCTTTGCAGGGTGGTACCTGGGCTCTGCAGGATGCACTTTCTTAGTTGTCCATAATTAAATAGAAGGAAATTGTGGTTAAAGCTTGGTCTGAGCATGGTGATGCTGCTATTGGGAGGAGAGAGAGCTGGAGAGAGAGCTTAGCATCACCATGCTCAGACCAAGCTTTAACCACAATTTCCTTCTAGCATAACAGGACCAGACAAGAGCTGTTCATTGTCCCCATGGATTTGGGGTGAGGAAGTCCCTGTCCCCACTGCAAGGGCAGACATCTTTTTATAACCAGCTTGTGACACTCCCCTGAACCACTTACAACAAACTGTGCCCAGCCCACACGGCAGCTTTTCTGCCTCACAGCCGTGGCTGAGCTGTGTCTGTGTGTGTGTTTGTACCCAGCATGCTGTCCGACTGTGTGTGTGCACTGGTGCATGCTGGGAGAGTCTGGGCAGTTCCAGCAGGAATCAGAGAGCCCAGGGGCCATGCACACACATTCAACACCACTGGTCCAGGGGTCCATGCACTCCGGGGTATCCTACCGCATAGAGCTGGTGGGAGGGACACCCAGGGCAGTTACACAAACACCGCTGGAGGTCCTGTTAGGGTCGCCACCTCTGAGGTGCAAAAAAATCCAGGACATCTGCCTGCTCCACATACACCACTTGTCCCCTCACCCCGGGCACTGTCTCCCCATCCCACACCTGGGCACTGTGTCCGTATCCCACCCCTGGGAGAGGGCACTAGCCCCCGTGGGCTCCTGTTCCTGGGGCTGAGCTGGGAACCAACCTCGCCAAGCAGGACATGGTGCCAGATCTACTCCACTCCCCCCCCCATCCCGGCGGTGACCCCCACATCCGGTACTTGTGTGGTGTAAATGGGCCCTACTGGCCCTGAGCTCCCCATCTCACTCACTGCTCCCAAGCTGCCCCATCCCCACGGCTCCCAGACTCTCTGGAGCCAGAGCTCCCTCTGTGCAGGCACCGCCACCCTGCAGCTCCCCCACTACAGCCACTGACACACCTGGGGCTTGTCATGTCCTGAACAGACTCACAGATTTCCCAGGACAGCGACCTGAACAAAGGGGCTGGGAAAACCTGGACAGGTGCCAGTCCTAGGTCCTGTCCACACAGCACAGTAACACCCAGCTGAGCCAGGTACATGCAGCCAGACACGTGCCAGCCCAGGCGCCTGGCAGGGACAGTGAGCTGCCATGGTCACTAACTGTGTTAACACCCCCATGTGCCCCACACCACGCTTAGAGCCCCCAGGACCCAGCCCCAGAACAGCTGTAACCTAGACTCATGGCAATGCAGGGCAGGAAGGGACCTCGAGATTTCACCTAGTTCAGCCCCCCACGCTGGAGCAGGGCCTAGACCATCCCTGACAGGGGTTTGTCCTGTTCTTACAAACTTCCAGTGATGCGGATCCCACAACCTCCCTTGGAGCTGGGTCCAGAGTTTCACTGCCCTGAGAGAAAGTGTTTCCTCATCTCCAGCCTCAGTCTCCCTTGCTGCAGATTGCGCCCATTGCTCCTTGGATGGGCCCTTGTCCTGCCCGCTGGGG